ACGCACATACTGTATAACAGTAACAGTTAAGGTTCTCTTAATGAAGGATTAAGGGAGAAGCTTTTGTTAATTCATGAATGTTTTATTTTTGTGGGATGGATTTAATAAGTTTTAGTTCTTCCCACTCCTTTTCGAGCATCTGCATAAAATAAGCTGTGTAAAATGGATTTATGTTCATTTTTGACTCAACAGCGTAGACTTATTTAATTGTATTAACTTCTGTTGTTTTGTTTTAGTTACTCAACTTGCTCTCGATTAGAAAGAATCAAATTAAAAAGAAGATTTTTATATTTTTGTATAAACCTATCATTTTTTTTAGATGGACTTGATTGTTTAGGAGGTGCAGCTCGGTTCTATTCCACTATAGTAGAACCAAGCTGCCTCTGTTTCTATAATTTCTATGAAAGTATACAGTAGAAACAAAATAAAGAAATCAGATTTTATTATTAATATTATTATTTATTATTATTTTTGAGGATTTGGTGGGATAAAACTGAAGAAAATTCATATACTGTCATGATCTTCCCTGATAGCTGATCTAAGTGCTTGATTCACTCACCTGCCAAACCCTCCATGCTCACTAATTTTCAATTTATCTTATTCACCTGCTCCTTCTGCTTTATATACGGTTCAGCCCAGCTATCTGGGCTAGATTATTGTTTGATATTTATATTTTAGTTTGAGTTATATCCATGCTTTGTGTCCTCATTCTCGGAGGCCAGTGGGTAAAGAGGGTGTTAGTGTAGTCTTGTCCTGAATAGTCCTGGCACTTGCCACTGAGCGTGTCCTGTTCCTGTTTCATCTTGGCGGGGGGGAGCTAGTTTAAAGCTCCGTTGTCCTGGCTCTTATCCGCTCAAGCTAGCCTTTTTCCGGTATCGGCTTAGTGGAGGGAGCCAGTATAAAGTTTTGCAGTTAACCTGGTAAAATGTCTTGTCTCTGCCTCTCAACGGCTGTGCCTGCCTGTTTCCGCCTGAGTCTGTCTCCCTGAGTTCGCTGCTTGACTCATGAAACTCTGATTCTGCCGAAATGCTCTGTGGATTCCTTTAACCCTGGATCTGTTTTTTTCTTGCTCTGATTGGATGCCCCAAACCAGGTTTCAGATGCCTGGACCTCAGAACCGTCCTTGTTCTGGATTGTTTCCCTGACCTGGCTCAGACTTCTGCCTGTTTCACAGAGGCTGCTGCATCGGGGACACTCTGGCAGCTCAATGCTGCATCTCGTTGGAACTCCATCGGCTGGATCCTGCCTTACCCATGTGGATGGACTGAACTGTTAGACCAGCGTGCCTGTGATGGGTTGTGCCCCGCCTCCCCCCGTAGTCGCTGCAGATCTATAGATCCTCAGCTCTGTGTTCCGCTCTGCTATTTTGCTGTTAAATAACAATTTTGAACTTTCCTACTGTCTCTCTCGCCTGAATACTGGGTCCATCTGCCCCGTTATATAACACATACCTGCATAAGAGTGCTATCTGTTCGATCTATTAGCGGTTTTCCATGCTTACAACAAAACTAGCAGCAGTAGAAGAGTTTGGAGAGGCAACCCACTTCTTAAATCTATCTTTGTGCTCCAGTAATTTATCCAGAAACACTGGAATGAACACTTTTTCTCTCACTCCCAACTTGGGAGTGGTCAGCTGCATATTCAGCATGCCTTCCCTGGAAATGCCTTTCCAAATTTTTCTTTTTATCATTTGATAACCTTTCATTACAAACCAAACATGCAGGCAATTCTTCCGCAATAGAAATGAAAGCTAATGAAGCGGTCCATTCTTCTTTGAGTCCCCTGTTCCTATCAGCTATCTTCCTTTTTTTTCCCTTTGGAATTCATGGCCTGAGACACACCTGCCGGTTTGTTTACAACAGCTGGCACTGTGCCACGCTGTAACGTGTGTTGCAGGCTATGACGTAAGTCTTCGTTGACAGAAATGTTTAAATTTAATTGTTTAGATTTATTTTTATAATTTTTTTAAAGCATTTATTTTTTTTATATTTTTACAGCATTGGAAAACATAATGAATGTTTGTTTGACCTCCTTAACACCATATTAAAACAAACAAACAAACAAAAAAATCTCTTTCCATTACATACATTTTTGAAAAATGCAAGGGGGCCATTAAAGAGCTGCATGTGGCTCCGGAGCCACGTGTAGGCGACCCCTGTACTACAGAATACCTCTAAAGCAAGTAAAGGTGGCGGGTGACAAACGAACTATAGCAAAGATAAAATCTCTATTGTATAACGTCTTCAATGATAGTTTAAACTATTGCAGAACTGAAGAGAACCTTAACTGAAAGATTGTCCAGCATCACTGAGCTTGCTTATAACATGCTCAATTAGTGGTTTTAAATCCACACTGTTCTTTTTCTAACAATAAAGAAATAAGACTAAATTATATATTTGTTTGTTTTTGTTGGTTTTATTGATCTTTAAAATAGTAAAACACACACTTGCATTCTATGTGTATGAAGTTCATTTAATTTAGAAGTGTAGAGCTTTTTGAGTTAATAATTGTTATACCAACCCAGACATTAAACACTGTAGCTTGGTCACACTTGTCAAATCCTGATAACTCAGCTGTGCTAACCAAATGTGCTACCCACACTCAGGTGAAAATAATGTTTGGGATTTCCGAGAATAGTGCTGAACAGTGGAGCATTTGTCTGCATTGTCACATCACAAAAATTATTTTTGCTTTTTTTCCTGTCAGTTTGTAAAACCCTAAGTGAAAAGAGGAATATTTGTCCACCTGATCCAGTTCACTCTCACACAGATGGGTATCAGTTCCCACAAGTTGATAAAACCTAAAAATTATTTCCCGCTTTTGCAAATAAGCTGATTGTATTTTCTAATACAAAGTTGTTTTTCTCCTCTGTTTTGACTGAGAGGTTTCACAATAAGGCTGAACATAAAATTTGATGAGGAAGAATCAAAGATTACAATTACTGAATGTGTTTGATTTGCCATATCTTGTATTCCACAACAGTCAAACACATCTGAGAAAATGGACATCGATGCCGGGCATGAGAGGACAGTGTTCTTCCGCCTTTTGCAAACACGGATGCACGTGCATGTAGTGACGCTGAGTCCCAGGACTGCTTTTCATATTATCTTATCAGTGATGCCCATCATGCAGCGTTAGGAAAAAGTAAATATTGATGGAATAACCAATTACTGTCTTTCAGGAAGAACATAAAAGAGAACTGCTGGCATTCTGGGTGTTTTTTCTCAGCGGACCAACCTTTGACAAACAAGTTAGTGCAAATTCAGGTCAAGAGATATTACAGAAAAAAAATGATTCATTTTGTGTTAATAGTTAATCTACATAGCTGTAAACTTCCAATCCAGGGTTGAAATTACAGTAAAACCAGAGTGATTTAAAAAAAATATAAAATTAAGCTGGAATATTTGTATTTATTATATATATTTCATTTTACAAATTTACACTTTGCTTGAAATAAAACAAAAAATATTGTGTTTATGACAGCTTAAATTATTTTATTTAAAGGTCTTTAACATGACAAGGCAAAGTGATAATAAGTTCTTGGTTTTGATTGAATGAAATTGATGGTTTCTCTTTGGATTTGTTTGACAGCACTAATTTAATTGATCAGTTCCTTCAAAAAAGAGCTAACTGAAGAACTCAAAAGAGAATTGTAGATTTAATAAATATATGTATAAGACATTTTTTTTACAATTGTATCTGAACACATGCAGATTTTATAACCTTCACCTCTAATGTTTGTTCAGGAAGAACGGTTAATAAGTTCTCACCGCTTTGCCGTCATGTGGAGGAAGACCAAAACTGTTATCAAAAGGGGAAAATCGTTTTAGTATTTTAAGGAATAGGGCTGAATGGAAGTGCAGTTCTTAGCATTGTTGCTCTAAAGGAAGAAAAGTCTTCCCTCAGCTATGGGTCTATCGGCTTTGAAGTTACATGTTCTGGTTGTCAATGTGTGGTTCCTCTTTGGGTGCTCAGGCCCGTTCCCACTGTCCAAACACATGCGGGTTATGTTGACAGTGTGGAAATGTGTGTCAATGGATAAACTGAATGTATTTTAAAGAGTTTTGTGCTTCCTACCTTGTGATGGATGGATGACCTGTGAGTGTATACCCCAGTTTGGGATACGTAACAACTGCTGGAGATAGATAACAGCCTCCCCACAGCCCTGTGAAAGGATATTCAGGATACATCCAGGAATCACCAATGCTCTGACACATGTTGAGGAAAGTCCACCGGGAATACCAGGAATATAGCACCCCAACCTTCCCCACCCCAAAATTTATATCCTAAGGCCTAAATGAAATTTCCAACTATCAACATAGATGACCTCAAAATTCTGAGATGCATGTTTGAGGGATGACAGTAGAGCTTTGAAACCTAAGACTCACAACTCAAGCATGGTGGCAGCTGCATAACAATATATCTAAATATATAACTGTAAAATCATTGTAGTTTGTTCTATTATTATTATTTTTTTTTTTTATTTATTTACATATATGTAGTACTTCTTTCACTGGATCATGCTGGTTAGCATAGTTTGAAATGTCCCTCGCTTTAGTTGCTAGTAAACTGCCCAAGATTGTAATTTTGTAGCAATATTCAAAATGAATACTTTGTACAAATGTCATCACTCAGTAAGCAAGTGTAAAGTTTCTGTTTGGTACATGTAGAGCATGCAAATGTATCTACAGTATGAGCAGATTGAACATAAGTCGTTTTTTTTTTTTTAGCTTGGTAGAATTTTGATTAATGACATTTAATCCTTGTCTTTTTTCATCTTTTCTGAAATTATACTTATGGCATACATCTTACACAACATGACTGATCTAACGGTATCCAAAGTGGTGAAATGTTGTCATATCTTTTGCTTCTTTTAAAAGCAAATTATTTGATAGCTGTACTTCCTCATTCACACACACATATACAATGGTCTTCTTACTAGCTCCTGTTTTAGTTGGGTTATTAATTACTTAACTTTTCATTTATGGAAATTCTGTGTATACAACCTGATTTGTGTCTTTTCCCATCAGACAAAAGGGCTCCTTCCTCTTACACCTCTGGACTTGCCTTAAACAGCTCATCTTTTTACAAAACACTCGAGTCATGGTTATGTAAAATTTTGTTTATAGGATTCATGTATGAAAAATATTATTTATGTTTGAAGTACATAGCAAAAATTTATGTATAATCCACATAAAAAGTAATAAAAGCTTGAAATATACCGAACACAAACTGACAGCATGTCTCTTTTTGAGTTTAAGCTGTAAATACTCCCCCCTCCCCTCCCAAAAATAAAAACAGTCTTCAAATTTTATCGCAACAAAGTGACAGTTGAAGCTATTGCTTAGGTGCTGCATATTTGCAATCTCTATGTCACGTCTTCACAACACCCCATTGCATTATGGGAGTTATAATGAAACTCAGCTACTTAATGCAAGAAATGCTTTTTTTATTTCATGTGACAGTTCAAAGCGGGCTGTCTCTGCAGCTTTTCACACTACGCTGCCTTTAAAAATTGCTGTGGCTTGCTCAGGCAAACAAAAGGCTGCCTCACATCGTAAGTTCATCGAGAGTCAAACAAACCCTGCCCCAGTGTACACAGCAAAGTCATTTTCACATGAGTAAAAACATAAACGTGGTATTAATTTCCTGCTTGCAGGGATGAAGAAATTAGTTGAGGCTGCTGCTCCCAGTCCCTTTCCTGTCAGCTGTGATAGCATTGATCTCCTGTTGTTTGTATTCCTTATCTTTCTCAGTCTTGTTAGCTCCCCCACATAGGGCCTGAAGCATGTGACAGGACATGCACCTGCAGAGGCGACTTTTAACCCCTTCCTTCAATTTGCCAACAGTTCCTCTCACAGCGGAGGAGGAGAAGTAGAAAATAAAAGGGTCGAGGCAGGCGTTGAAGGTGCTGCACAGGAGGGCTTTGTCTCTCCAGTGGGGACTCTTCTTTGTGATGAAGCCCACAATGTGGGAGACATTGTAGGGGCCAAAGCACAAGGCAAAGACGAGCAGTGTTCCCAGTGCCATGCCAATGGCCCTCAAGCGTCGGCGACGGTCGATGTGGTGCAGCTTGGACAGAATCCTAATGAAGTTGATGTAGCAGTAACTGGAAATGAGGAAGGGGATGCAGAAAAGCACTATACAGAGCTCCAGACGCACAGGCAGGAGGACCCTCAGTTGAGCATCAGTGAAATTGTCATAACACACATCCTTCTTGCTTTCAGCTATGTCGATGGTGGAGTTTGTGAGGGGCTCTTGTCCAATAAACGGCACTATAAATACAATGCTTAGATGTAGGACGGAGAAGATCCAAAAGAAAATGCTGGCAGCAACAGCGTAGATGGGTCGGCGTTTCAGGGTGTGTTTTATGGGGAAAGCGACACCAAGGTACCGCTCCACACTGACGGCAGTCAGGAAGAAGGTGCTGTTGTAGATTGTCATGTAGAAGACAAAGCCTGACAGAGGGCATAAGGCATATGGCAGGGCCCATTTCATGTTATTCATGGCTTCCTGCATCTTAAAGGGCAAAAACAGGAGGAAAAGGAGATCAGAGATGGTAAGGTTGAGGAGAAGGATGTCGATTGGCGTGGGTCTCTGCCTCACTTTCTTCCAAAAGGTGTAGAAGGCCAGTACATTGGTGGGAAAGCCCAGCAGAAAGGTAATGATGTACACAGAGAGACACAGTCCAGTGTGGCACTCCTGCATGTTGTCTTCAGCGTTATTCTTACACAACTGCTCGGGATTGAGATGTGTCACATTATGTCCTTGACTCTAACTCTAGGGATAAATGGGGCCACTGTAAAGAAAGGTTTGATCTATCAAGCAGGCAAAAGCAAAGAACACAAAGGCTTCTTATTTGGTCAGTGGCCTGGAAACAACACGACAAACCAAGGTGGTTTCACTGTCCTCACCAGCGACCTCCCTCTCATCTTTTCCTTCAGCGCTCTGAGCTCTAATGATAAGAAAGAAGAAAAAAATATTACTGCACCATTCAACATACTATTTGCATCACACAGGGCCTCTGATACCTGAATCTAACATGCATACATGTACTGCATATTATGCTTTCATGTCTACCCATAATCAGATAAAAATATTTATTTTTGCTCAGTTTCCTTCTAAAATACTTATTCATCAGCAATTCAGAATGAAATGATTAATATTAACATTATTGTGAAAATTAAGCAAGTGTTTTTAACATGAGCTTTCATTTTTTTTTTATATAGATTGTTTTACCTAACTTTATCTAATAATTATGTTCCAGATGGAGTTTAACCTTTGGCTGTTTTCATCACTGATCTTAAAAGGAAAAGTGTTGCATTAATAAAAAAAGAAAATATAACAAATGGAAAGTTATTCAAATCTTTTTTTGATTAAGACTTTTTCAGAATCATATTTCTGGATTACATTTATTCAAATTACCTTCTTTTAAATTTATATTTATAAAATGTGTTCTTTGCTTGCATATTGCATAAAATCAAAATTCATTCAATACAATTGTTTACTCAGCAACACTGAATAATAAAGTCAGTTTCCTGCTTTTTTGTTTTTTTTGTTTTAGCCGTCATATATCAGACATGAATATGTTTTATTTTCTGCCCAAATATTCTTATTAAGCTTGTTTCTTCTGAAAGTAATCATATTTGCTCTGCCTCATTGCATGTGTATTCCTCTCCAAGATGATATATATGCAAGGAATTAGGCCAAATAAAACTGATACTGAGACTCTAAAGTCAATAAACAATGACTTGAAATAATTTTGCTTTAAAATCTCCCTTCATCCCCTCCGTATTTGATGTTACACTTAAAAAAAGCAAAAGTGCATTTTCTTCCGAGTTGCCATCCACTCTTATTACTAATGTGCAGTATATTAATTTAAGTTACTATTCCTGAAGACTACAGCACAACCCTGTTCTCAAGCTAATTCTAATTCAGGAGAAATCTCTTCTTAAAGTTATTTTCATTCATTTTATGTCACTTGAATGGTCATTAAACTTTAAATAAACTCTTGTGAACTCTATTGTGCTACAACTCAGCTTGGTGTGAAACAAATCCAAATCAATTAGAAAGAAAAATTGTGGCTAAATCTAGTCAAAGAAAAATAGTTCAAGTATTGTATTTAAAACTACCGGTAGGTCAAAAAGGTGCGGTTAACCCAAGACCCAGATAGTAGCTTATTAGTTAGGTTTTAACTATTTGAATTTATACATACTAGCCTTAAACTTTATAAATGCTTGATTCCTAAAAATATTAAGCATTGCTTTTCCATACTGCCATAAATATTGTCAAACTTCTTTGTTATTTAAAATTTTACATCTCAGAACCCTAGTTACCTACCAATGGCAACATTTTAATTGTATTTCTCATTGGGGTATTATACATTCTCCTATTTATTTTAACATCTAAGAAAATTACAGCACAAACAACAGAAAAATAAAATATTGGTATTGCTTACCTTTTTTGTAAACAGCTGCATCAATTGAAGTGTTTACTTGTGCGGCTGAAGCTCATCTCTTATAATAAAGCAAGGGGAAGCATTATTTTACTTCCTTCCGGGAGACTATGATGAAACCAACCAAGTAGCACTAACTGAAGCAACCTGAAAACTTCCTCTTCATCAACTGTGTTTTTTTCTTTTTTTGTACGCTCAGTTTATATGTCCCACCTCCACAAGCTTGCAATTCAGAGGCAATTACAAGAGTAATAGTGGCTTACCTCCAGTGCAGTTACTTGGACGAACCCACGTGTTGTGATTGTTCAGCCGTTTTGTTTGATATTTTCTTTCCACCATCCTTCTGCTCCAATCTCCCTCTCACTGGCACAGCCCCTTATTTACATGATAATCTAAACCTCCAGCACTGATAATAGAAATGATTATTAGTGAGACACCGTCACAGTTTTTCTCCCACATTCGCCAAACATGGTTTCCCTGGTAACAGCTGGTCTTTTCACTTTATGACTGTCAAACTATCTGTGTTGTCCAGTTTTATTCCAGACAGTTAAATCGTCTTTAGTAGTTCATGTCATCACGTGACACAGGTAAATGAGGTGTTCTGGTAAAGAGCTATCCTTCCTTGCAACAACATGCAGTAAAGTCAGCTATATGGCTACCTAATAAAAGCATGCAATGCCATGTGATAAAAAAGTAAAACACACAAACTGAAACGTGCTGCTTAGGCTTACATTTATAAGAGTTTACCTCTATACCTGGAAGACCCTAAGGCATGTCAGAAATCACACATTCTGTATCTAAAATTGGAGCATCAGGTCATTTGTCTTAAGCAGGTAAGAGAGTGTCCACAGGTAGTACTGGTTAATTTTTAAAAAAGTCACCTACGCAGGCTTTTGAAGTTATAATGACTCAGAGTAGAACAGAGTCCTTTTGATGTTGCTTATTGTATGTAATTACACTGAGGTAGTTTCACTTGAAGCATTTCTTTAAACACTTGACTTGGAAGGGCGAGTTTGAAGTATTTTGCCATACCTATCTATTAATCCTATTTAAATGTGTCACTCACCTTTCTTCATGCAATTGATCTTTTACTTTAAAGAACCAATTTTTTCATTCGTTGTGCACGGCAGCCAAGAGGCAAAAAAAAAACAACACAAATTTTCCCTCATGTCTTAGTTTTAACATTTCTTACGAAATCTTGGAGAGTCATGGTACATTATGCAAGCGTCTGAAAATCAGTAAGAAGTGTTTTTACACAGTGACATAAGGGAATTTTAGAAATACTGTCTGACCTACAGCGTCTTAGCTGTGATGCTGAGACGCTGATGTTGTATCATGATCATCTTACGAAAGACTGCTTCAGAAATTAGAGACAATTTGAGCTCTTGGCAGAGGAACGTATTAGCATACAGGCTACCACTTTGTGATTTTCCATTTTCTCACCTACGGTACCTGAATGCCAATCTCAGTCAAAAAATCATTTCCATATTAGGGTTATCCACACCAGCAGTGGGATAACATATTGTCCTGTATGTGCCATAAAGCAACAAAGTTTAAATCCAAGATGTGCTGCTTTATGAAACTATTTCAACACTGAAAAAAAATAGAGGTTGACAGAACTTAAATTATCTAGGCAACGTGATGCATTTGGTTTTTTGAGTTTTCCTTACTTAAATTCACTGTGGTTAAGTTTACAAAGATTTTTGAGTTCTCCCAACTTAGGTTTTTGGAGTGTTACATAGAAATTTTGAGTCCTACTAACTTAGGTTTTTGAGTTTCACCTTTAAGTTCTGAGTTCTATCAACTTTGTTTTATGAGTTTGACATATAGATTTTGAGTTCTACAAACTCAGATTTTGTAGTGTTATCTGTAAGTTGAGTTCTACCAATCGTCTTCACTACCCATCATTCAACACACAAAAAATTATGTTAATACAACATTTTTATTGCTTCAAATTAAACATTGTATCAAAAGATACAGTATAAAACAATGTTCAACAACATAATCTTAATTTCACAGAGCAAAGTAACCTGAGAGCCTCTTGAGAACTGCACTTTCCTCTCCACGTGTGCGTGTGTTTGCGTTTGCTTATTCAGGGTTAGGGTTAAACGCGAGGGAAAAAGGCTGTGCACTTGAAGAAAGGGATAGGAAACCCCGTACCGTAGTAGGCGTGTCCATGTACATGAGCAGTGCGCATGCCCATGAGTTTACAGTTGAGGGAACTCAAAAAATCTTGTATAGGCGATTTAAAACTCCTTGTTAAACCAACTATTGAGAATTTGAGTCGGGCAAACATGTGTTTATTTGTTAGATGTCAAATTTATATTTCTGAGTCAGATTACAATACATTTGTGTGTTAGAACAACAATTGCCATTTACTGTTGTAACAGTGAAGATTCTATGTCATGCTTTTATATATGATAAAATATTATATGGAATGGAGATTACTTTTTTAATTATATATTTTGGGGGGGTTTGGTATCTGTTGCTATTTTCTAATCCTGGAAAACAGACACTTCACAGAACCGTTTCCTCTGTTTATGTGGGTGTTGTTCTTGCCATGACAACCTAGAACAGTGTTGTTCACCCCTGCTCTTTCCTTCACCGCACCTGGTTTAGTTGCAGCATGCCTCATGATTTAGCTCCCCTTTAGAAAGGCTAAACAGAGTCTAAAATCTTGCAGCTGAAAAACATTCTTATGACTTAGACATTAGCTAAAAATAATTGCTGCCGTCACTGTGCAGATTAGCTGCCTATTAAATAACTTAGGCTGTGCCAGAACATCAACCCTAACCCCAACCAATCAATCACTATATAGAGTGGGGACTAGTGGACTTTTTCTTGAAGTCAGTTAACTGACTGTTCGGACAGATGATCACTACTTTTCGCAGCCTGTTGGTCACATGACTCCCGCTCCTAGCACAGCGCCATCTTGGTTCTTTCTTATCACCAAAACAAATACCATTGTCCTTTGCAAGGAAAGCTCTAGTGACCATGGATGATCACTTCTTTTCAAGATGTATTGTGGGAGATTTTGAGTTCACTACATTTTCATCCACTAGACATTTGGACACTCATAAAATGGCGTAACCGCTCTATAGTGGGCTTTATAGGGTTCAGGGCGGATGTCTGGACACAGCCTCAGACTCAACTTTGAGGGAAAATGATAGTGCAGACGTTTGGTCAAGATGGGAGGGTTAGTTAAAGGATAAAAAAGTTAATGTTGAATGATATAGGTCAACCAATCATTTGGTGTTTTTTTCCCACTTACAGAGTTATTCCGTTTTTCAATTCACATTTTAGTATTAAACATCTAACGTAAGTAAATACCAAAAGTTACAAATATACAAAAAATACAAAACATTTTTTGAATACTTCCTTTAACATTATTCAAATAAAACTTGCCTAGCTGTATGTGAAGATCAATTTGTCTCCAGTGTGAAATCATAGGTGAAATTTTATATAACACAAATTTGGTCCATATTCTCTTGTCCCCTCTTTACTTCATCTATTGCATCAAATAACATATACATAACTTTAAAATAATCTTTTTGACAACATACATTTGGCTTAAATAAAATAGCCTCATGTCTTGACCTAAAGAAACTCAAAGGTTGAGATATACAGACATTGACATCTATCACTATAAGGTTTTGAGGCTCCAGTGAACCACAGTTTGAGTCCACAGTGTGAGTCCTCAAACAAAGAAGACAAAACACGCAACAATAGCTGGTCTGAAAATATTACTCTTACTGCACATCTTTAAATGGCTAAGAAGCCTTAAAAAACATTATACATGATATCACAGAATTTTTCGACTAAAGTCAGTAATGGTCCAAATCTAAGTCAAAGAGCACTAAAACTGATGGAGAACTGCAGCAAACATTTAGTTTGAACTCTCCAGCTTTTTAATCTCATTTGCTTTAAAATTGATCAAACTCATTCTACTGCTGTATCATTAACATTAATCACTAAGCATTATAGAAGACCAGAGAACCTGATGAGGCATTTGTTTTAACCCATCAGACCTATCATGTCTGGATCACTTAAACTAATTCAAAGGTTTGTCAATAACTGAAACAATGAGTGAGGTACTAAACCCTTTTTTAATAATTGGTGTTCTGTTTCCCTTTTGCATTCTTCACCTTGTTCACTATGCAAACATACTGCAAATACAGAAATGGTCGACAAATATAAAAATAAGACTAACATAACACACAAGCAAAGAAGAATGCTACAAAAGGAGAAATGCTGCAAACACAGATAATAGAGAGCAGCAAATTACAAATGTGCTGCAAACACAAACTCACTGCAAAACATTTTGTGTGCTAACAAACGAAAAACATGCAAATGAAAATTGGTGCAAGTATAACAGGGTTAAAGTGGTGCCTATTCCACTTTCCATTCCCATATTTGGGCAATGACGTATGGGTAAATCAGCGCCCTCTCTTGGTAGTTAGCCATGAAAATTGCAGTGAGGACAGGGACCTGGTTTTCACTGAAGTAGGCACAGGCATGAGGTGAGTTCTCTGCACAAGCACTCTACTAAAAAGCTATCTATTATTGTTATACTGATGTGATGAGCCCAATTCCTGACCAGTGTAAATTCTGTTTGATTCACATAAACAGCGTTACAACTCATCCAGTCTTCCACCTGGTCTTTATTTACAACACAACGCAGAGATAAAGTAAGGTCAAGGAAGAGAACTGGATTACTCTGTAAACCAAGCTGATTCAGTACAGGTTCAGCAAAGTTACACTAGTGGATAAAACAACTAAACGTTAGGTTAAAGTTTCAAATGTATTCTGGGAAACAACTCATATGGTGGCAGATCATAAAGATTACTACGGTTGAATGTCTAAGAACTTGACCTAGTGGTGAGAAAAAAATCCTTCTTCCATTAAATCCCTTTTACATATATTGATTTATAAGTGCTGAGTTTCATTTATTCAGGCCTCAGAGCTGTAAGGCGTCAACATGTCTAAGGGAGAGGGGTTGTTTATCCTAATAGGGAGTGTTTGGGATAAAAATAATGGTTCTCATAACAAACCAGACTGTTTCACAGGGAT